AGCATAACTAACACCACAGAAACAAGCCTATCTCGCTGTTCTCCTGCTCCTGGTTCTTTCTGGTTGTAAGGTATGACCCCCAAATGAGTTGTGCACTTTTTTTTAAATTCAAAGATATTTCCACTTCATTAACACAATTCCTTATTTTCTACTTCTTTGTTAGCACCGAGGAGAAATTCCAGGCTTTAAGATTCAAATGACTTCTCCTAAAATCAGAGCTGGTCTCTCTCCTCTCAACATGCCCATTTACGTGAAATCTCTGAGAGTTTCTCTGCCTCCATGAAACGTGGATGCCACTGCCCATCAGGCCCATGTTTGCCTCTCTGCACAAACAGTCCAAAACAGTTTTCCTGATCTGTTTCAACTTGAAGTGTTGTCAATATATGGATTGTCTTGCTTTCTAATTCAGTGAAAAATCTAGTTTTCCATTAGTCTCTGCCTTTCTAATTTTCGATACAGTCTTACTAAATGTAATTATTAAAGGCAGATTCAAGAAAGCAATTACTGAGCTACTGGTTTGTATCTCTGAAGTCTTAATAAGTGGCAAAAAGTTGTAATTGCCCTGAGTATAAAATAAATTTTTCTATAGGACAGACATACCCAGCCTTGAGTTTGTGCACAGAGAAACACAGAATCTTTAACCTTATTTCAGCTCTACTCAGGCAATGCTGGGGGCGCACAGTAGGACCACATTCCGGAAAGACCACACTGCTCTATTTTCAGGACTCTGTGGCCTTGATAAACACCTTTGAAATATCTTTCCTCTCCCATCTGAACATATGTCAGGAAATTAGGTTAGACATTTAGCATGCATTCATCTGGCTCTTTAACTCTATGAGCTATTTACTGAATTCCTTAACCATTGAGCCATCTCTCCAGCTCCTATTTGCTGAATTCGTAATAAACACAGTGCCCAGCTCTGTACTAGACATGGGCTGAGTAATTCTAATGCACAGCTTCAACTTGATTAATTATAAAGCAATTCTGTCTCCTAATAACATAAATCAAAAAAAAATTTTAAGCCTAAGGAATAATTCTGTAAGTGGAGCCTATTAGTTACTTTCCTGCTTCTGGGAAGACACACCATGACCAAGGTAACTTACAGAGAGAAAGGTAGGACAGCAGGGAGGCATGGGAGCTGAGAGAGCACACCCCAGCTACAACCACAAGGCGGAAGAGGGAACTGTAAGCAGAAAGAGGATAAGACTCCAAAGCCTGCCTCTAGTGACATACTCCCTTCAGCAAGGCTGCACTAAGCCTCCCAAAACAGCCCCACCAACTGAGAACCATGTCCAACTGCATGAGCCCACGGGGGACATTCTCATTCAAACCACCTAACAGGGAGCCAAGTTCTTTGAGACCACCTCACTCACAGATTGAACTGTGGCACCCTCCCTCGTCCACGGTGGGATCTCTCTCAGTGTGGTTGTATTTGAAGAGAGGTCCTGTAAAGAGGTAACTAATGACGGTTGAGTAAGGCAGGAAGGGCAGAAAGATCCAACACCTCACAGGAGAAAGAAGTGGTGTGTTGGCTCCTACACCAAGGAGGCTAAAGCAAGAGCATTATGAGTTTGACAGGAAAAGCCGTACACAATAAATACAAGTTCAAGGCCAGACCAACTACATAGCAAGGTTATCTCAAAGGAGGAAGAAGAGGCATCAGAGACCAAGGATGTAGCTTTTCCAGAGCACAAAAATCTTTCCAACCCTGAGAAAGGCCTTGAAAGATAATCTTCACTGCTCTCTCTCAACGATGCCTCCTGGCTTAGGGGCAACATTCCAAACAGAACTTCCTAGCAGGCAAGATGCTTCAGTGGGTACAGCACTTGCCACGAGTCCTAAGACCAGAGTTCAATCCACAGGACCCATGTAAATGGAGGCAAGAACAGACTACAAAGTTGTCCTGCAACCTTGATACATATGCCTTAGCCCATGCATGCTCATTTACACAAATAAACACACACAACAAATAAATAAATAAATGCAAAAGTTTAAAGTAGCGTGAGTTCTGTCTTAAAATCATTTACTGGATACATGAATGTGGCTTTGTGATTTCTAGACTGCTGCTAATTAAACCTGAGAAGAACCCTCACCCCAACACCTAAAAACCCATGAGGAGCACATCACTACAGTCAAGGCTGGGAGGCATAGCCAAAAATCTGAAACCATACCCCACTGGGTTTCCTTCACATCCTCTTTCTTAAATGTCTGAGAACAGAATATGAAGCCAGAAGGAGAAAGAGGAAGAGAATAAGCACGCAAACAACATACTTACTCCTTTAATTCTGTGAAGACGTTAAGAGCCTGCATAGTGGGTTCCCAGCCAATCACCCTGGGAAGGTTTACTGTGTTCATTGGTGGAAGCCATTTTCTAAGGAGGTCGTTGCTGAATGAGGCAGAAGCCTGGCAGGACCAGGGTTCTTCTGCTCTCTGTGGCCATCTTAGGATCAGGAGAGTCATTTATACTTCAGTAGAAGCCTTCTCTCTCACAGAAAATGAGGTTAGCAACTGAAGCTGCAGAGATCCCAATAACAGAATTAAGGCTGGCTGACAAATCTTCTGTACGGTATAGAACTGAGGCATGACTGGATGTGCCATGCAAGCAGCTAAGCCTACATCCCAAATCACAGCCAGAGGAGGCTGACCTGTGAGCTCCCAGACACACCCCAGGCTCTGGACAGGTGAAGAGCCTGTTTCTTTAAAGCGATTCAGTAAGGGCAGAAGAGTCAGTGAGCCCAGCAATAACACGCACAGAGTTTGAGGTACAGGGCTGTGATGTAGCCCAGCAGTTAGACCTAGTGCATACGATGCCCATTGCCACACGGGGCATATGGGGGCCTATATGTCTGTAGCCTGTCTATCTGTACACTGTTGAAAGTGCCTAGAAGGCATGAGTGGGAACAGAGAAAACACTTGAGGCCAGTTTTATGGGAAAGCAGGGTGGGAATGACTGATAACATCCAAATCAGAGGTCTCCATGAAAGGGCTAGCGGTGACCTCCCTCACACCTCCACCTTAACCGAGTGACAGCTGGCGGGAGCCACCCACCTTGGTACCTTCATCTGCAACCGTTACATTTATTTAGCTTTCTTCTGCTCAGTTGCTTGCTTTGCTCTCTCACAGAAGCCAGCCTGCCCCTCACACTCCGGCTGTGCCCTGCAGCCGTCTAGGAAGTGACTCTAATTTGGAATTTCTCTCCCTGTCCTTACATCATTGACCCTGAAATGAACAAGAAAAGAACTTCAAAAGAAACTATGGAAACCAAAGACTAGACATAGGGGAGGGGGCTGTGCAAAGAGAAGCAGCCCAGGAGATTAACTTGGGTGGGGAGGTCTCAAGACAACGGGAACAAAACACAGAACACCTAAAACCCTTGGGTAGGTGGGGTGGGGGTGGGGAGATTTGATTTCCGAAGTAACTTTCTATTAGATTATTTCTTCTCATTCTCAAAGTGAACCTGATCTCTGGTGACCTTAACGCCCCACATCTCTCTTGACAGCTCCTACTCCTTCAGGTAAACAGTGGTTTACTATTTCCAGAATAAACTATCTTTCTGCCTTGAACCTATATGCTCTCTTGCCACCTGGCCCCAGAGCTGCGTTCCTTGGTGAAAAACATGCTCTCCAACCAACACTTTGTGGGAGAGAACCAATGAAATCCAGTCTCACTGCTTCTGGGCTGGAAAGATGGCTCCGTTACTGAAGTGCTTGCTTTGTAAGCACAAGAACCTGAGTTCAGTCACCAGAATCCACGTGAATATCAGGATGCTGGCACTCGCTTGTAAGGGGCAGAGATGGGCAGATCCCTGGCGGGTGCTTGCCTAGCCTACGTGGCAAGCTCCAGGTCAGTGGGAAAGCCTGTCTCAAAAAACAAGACTTCTATCACTCTTGAGGAGCAATACCTGAAGTTCTCTGTTTTCTGTTCTCTGTTCTTTGTTCTCTCTCTCTCTCTCTCTCTCTCTCTCTCTCTCTCTCTCTCTCTCTCTCTCTCTCTACACACACACACACACACACACACACACACATACACACTCACTTACTTTAAAATCCTGTCATTGTGACAAGACATTTCTGCCCTAACCCAAGTACCGGAGTCATTCCCTCAGCATGTCTCTCATAAGTAGTTTTTCTGAACAAGTGGAGATCTGCTCCAGCCCCTAAAGAACACAAGGAAGACTATGAATCCACTATAAGCCTATGACAGTTGCAATAGGAGATGGAAGGAAAGGTACCTGGTGCCTAAACGTCACCTAATTGTGAAAGCCTAGTAATGAAGAACCCCCCCCCCAGATTTACCCTACACTGCACAGCCAGGTGATGGCAACTGTCTTCAGAGCATACACAGGTTTGGGTACCTGTGCCTGACATTTATTTTTAAAATGTATTTATTTGCTTACTTATTTATTGAGACAGGGTATTGTTATATAGCCTAGACTGGCCTTGAACTTATAAGCCTCCAGCATCCTCCTCCCATGTGTCGGAAGTACAAGAGTATGTCACCATGGCTGGCCGAAACCAGCATTTAAATTTTTTCAACACTGTTAAAAAGACTCTGAACTTAAACTTGGGTTCGAGTCCCACCTTCTCATTTACTTGCTATATGATCTTCAATACTCTTCAAGGTCTTTAAGGATCAGTTTTTTTGTCTGTTAAGGAGACACAGTACCATCTTCTCCGGGAAGGTTTAAGTAAGTGGGTATTTATATATCACAGAATACAATACACACACACACACACACACACACACACACACACACACACACACACACATGGCTTATATTGTTTATGACCTAAGTGTCCTTGAAATTTAGTCAATGACATTAAAATAGTTAAAAGTATCATTGATCAGGACTGCAGAGATGACTTGGTGGTTAAGAGAGCCCTGCTCTTACAGAGGAACAGGTTTGGTCAGCAGTTCCTGAGTGGAGCTATTCACAACCACCTGTAACTCCAGCTTTTGTATATCCCCAGGTGATGACCACAACCTCACAATCCATGTGCAGCCCAAAGCCTTGGTCTTCTCTGGAGATGCCACCAACAGCAGCCACACTGAGCTAGCAGCTTTCCAAACCTGATGCTTTCTTCTTCCTCAATCTGCTGAGCCAGGACACAGGTAGGAGCCAGAATGAGCAGGTCTTAGTCTGACTCTTGTCAGTCCTGGAAGTGTGTTGATCCAGACAAATAACAGAATGAGGAGGATGGCCGTCTTGCCACTGCTAGTCTTAACTACACCAATGATTCATTAGGCAGCCCAATGGGAACTGCCTAATGTTGCACAGCTGTTGACTTTTTGAAACTGTATTTACTAATGATCTCCAAGGTGTGGAGTCCGTCTTCCTCCTGCCCTTTCTCTCAGGCTTTGCCTCTTTTCCATCAGGTCTCCATAGAAGCATGACTGCTCGTGTTTCTGCTGCTTTAGGTCAATGCCCACAAAGAAGTCTGAACCCCAAGAAACGTATCTGGTACTTTCTTTTTTAAGGTTTATTTTATTATCTTTAAGCTTTGAGCACTCATGCATGTGAGAGAGAGAAAGAAAGAGAAAGAGAGAGAGAGAGAGAGAGAGAGAGAGAGAGAGAGAGAGAGAGAATGACCATATACGGAGGCTGTGGAAGCCAGAGGCGAGAGCTACAGTAGTTGTAAACTTTGGACATGGGTGATGGGTGCTGGGAACCAAGTTAGGTCCTCTGGAAGAGCAGTATGTTTTCTTAGCCACTGAACCATCTTCCTCCAGTAGCCTGATGTTCCTTTAAAAAAAAAGGTGGTGTTTTGGAATATTATTTTTGTTTACACTATGGAATGTTACTCTAGCTGTGTAAAGGTGTTACTTTTGTTTATGCTGCATTTCTATAACTATGCAAAGATCTGTTGCATTTGTTTCGCCTTGCCTGCCTATGGCACCAGGTTGGTCTAATAAAAAGCTGAATGGCCAATAGCTAGGCAGGGGAAGGATATGTAGGGCTGGAGGATAAGGAGAATAAATAGAAATCCAAGCTCGAGAGAGAGGAGAAGGAATGAAAGTGAAGGAGGAGAGAACGAGGTACACGCCAGGGGGGGCAGGAAGTCCAGCAGACGCCAGCCAGGCATAGAGACGCAGTGAAAGCAAGATACATAGAAGTAAGGAAGGGTTTAATAAGCCCCAAGGCAAAGGCAGTCTGCAGTACAAATAATAAAACCCAGAGACTGATACTGGGGTTCAAGCTGATGGTCAGATAGGTAAAGCAACCGGCTACTAGCTCTTACCTCTACCTCAGACTGAAGGGGTGATCCGTCTAGCTCCACAAATCCTCAGACTGCAATCCTGTCTCCGCTAAGTATCAGACTCCAATCCCAAACTGCTGTCTCTTCCTTTTATACCTCTCAGATCCTGGGATTAAAGGTGTGTGATCCAAACTGCTGGGATCACCATTGTGTGAGCTGTTTCTCTTTAGGACTGGATAAATTTCATGAATTTCAGTGTGGCCTTGAACTAACAGAGATCCATCTGCCTGTCTCTTGAGTCCTGGGACTAAAGGTGTGCGCCACTACCACCTATCTCTATGGCTAGCTAGTATGGCTTCTGGGATTAAAAGTGTGTATCACCATTGCCTGACCTCTATGGCTTGTGGCTAGCTTTGCTTTCTGAGCCCTCAGGCACGTTTTAATAAATCATAAATAATATATTACCATAGTAGATAAACAGGTTGACTTAAGTGAAAAGAGCTAGTAAGAAATGAGTCTAGCTAAGCCAAGTATTCAAAACTAGTAATTAGTCTCCGTGTCATGATTTGGGAGCTGGTTAGTGACCCAAAAGAAATAACCTGGTGAAGGGCGGGTGTAGTCAATGGAAGTATCTTCAGGTATGCCCCTCTCAATGAAAAATTTGTGGTCATTGTTCAGTGCTGTTTTTTTATGCCACCCAGATAACACTGTGTGGTCCCTTTCTCTCTCTCTACCTGCTCTTCCCAATCTTCTGTCACCTTCCCTCTCTTCCTTTCCATTGGTCTCTTGTTCCACTGGCTCTCTGCATTCCCAACATCCCTGAGGGTCAAGCATCTTCCTAAACCCTTCTCTTTTCCCTCTCTTTGAGCATCACCTGCCACTCTTCCGCCTCCTGCTGCGGGGGCTTTAGCCTCTCAGCCTCTTGCTCTGCTTTGGAGAGGAGCCCAGGTTCAGCTTCATGTGGTTTCCTTGGCAGAATTCCAGGAATAGTGACTGAATCTTAGGCATCTCCCCTCCTTCTTAAGAGTCTCCGTCCTTCCAGGGTTTAAAGTATTTTCCTTGGCCAGGAGATAACCTTGAAGTCATTTAAATTTAAGGTCCTTGCCCTGTCTGGGTCCATCGTTGTCTTGATAGTGGTCCCTTTCTCTCACTCTTTGTGTCATTGTTCATTCTCTTTCTGTAGACTTGGAGCAGGGAGGACAGCAAGGGTGGCTCCCTCCTCCATGGCTCTCCCTTCACTGATGCCTCTTCCTATCTTCAGATGTAGAACTCTTCCAGTCCTGGTCTCCATCTTGTTCTGTCAAGAGTCTATGATAGCTTCCTTTCCTCCTAGGAAGATGCATCTGGGTCCTTTTGTTCAACCAATTCTCTGCCACTACTCTGTACCCAGACCATTGAACAGAGCTCGATTCACCATCTTTTAGGTTTGCAGATCACTGAGGAGGACCTTGAATCCATTTTTACTTGTTGGCTGTTTGTTTGAGACAGAGCCTTATGTAACCCAGGTTGGCCTCAGATTTGTTACACAGCAGAAGATAACTGTAGATTTCTTACCCTGCCTCTACCTCCCAAGTTCCGGAATTCCAGGCATAAGACACCATCCCTGGTTTATGTGGTGCTAGTTTCTAACCCTGGGCTTCCTGCATGTTAAGCAAGCACTTTGACCACAAGCTATAATTCCAGTCCAGAATATCCCTGTAGTAATAGAAATCTAATCAGAATTCTCTTGGAACATGTATTCTTTGGTAATACTATATTTCTTTTCATGCAATTAACACAATCCTACATGTGGAAGAGAATTTCTTTTTTATAATTTAGCATTTTGAATAACAGAACATTCACAAGGACAGAAATTGCTCCTCACATCCCACTCTTCCCTGACCAGGTTCCAATCTGCCCTCCCCAAGGTCCTCACTGGTCACCCAAACTTCTACTGTGCTTTGCGAGTTTCTGAACAGTCAGTCTTGGATCTATCCCTCGACAGTCAGCACTGAGCCTGCTCCTCCTCTGACTTTTCCACTGGGCTGCAGCTTTGGGAAACTTCCTGTGTCTGGGCACAGGCTTTCCTTTCCTTCCTGTTGTTGCATGAACACTGTTAAGAGTTAATGTTTTGGGGGCTATACCTTTTGATGACTGACTAATACCTCTTTCTAATCATAATTTAGCAATGAGTGGTAGAGAAAATGGCTAGAAAAATATCTGTGTTTGCCTTAATTTTCCTTTTGCCAAAACCTAATTAGTTTTGGAACATTTTATACAAATCACATAATCATGGTGCTACAACTTAAAAGAACAATTTTTTTCTTAAATTATTTGGGAACATCTGCTCTGTCTTTTACACATACCAGGATCATCTTCTTTGTGTTTATGCTGGGAAACATGCCGGCTGCTCCAGTATCCCATCAGTTAGCACGAGGAATGTCAGCTGTCACCTGTGTCTGTCGCGGCGATTTCCCTCTTCTGCCTCTGCCCACTGTGGGTGAGCTGTCAAGTTTCTAGTTTCTGACATGCATTTACATCACTCAACGGCTTCTGACAGCAGTGAAAGGCCACAGAAAACTGCTTATTGATCAGAGCAAAACTAGTTGACGGAACAGATGAGGTTGTATCACAGAGATGCGGCCACATTCAGGTGATGACATCTGCTCCCTGCACACAGAAGCCTAATGGAATACAACTTCATTATATCATGCCACTTGTGCTTACAGCCGGGAGCCTGGCTCCTGACTGTTTTGTCTATGTGGTGATGAGGACAATCTACTTGTGCTGGCTCCAATGTCTTACCACCCCGATTTGTTCATGAGCACTTGCAAACTACCTGTGACTCTGTCCTGACAAATATACCAAGAGACACTGGAGTCTCAATCTCACCAAAATCTAATTGCACTGTCCTTAAAAAAAAACTAGAATTACCATTTAGTGAGCTGTAACTGGCTAGGTGAAAACTTTGGTACCACTGTGCAAAGAAGTTTAAATGTTTCAGCCACCCCCCCATACCATTGTCAAGGAAATAAACAAAAATTGATAAGCTGGATACTTAATTGTTTCTCAAGAACCAAGACATCAGACTAAGGCCCTCTGCCTACAAATTGTTCCTTCTGGTTTTAAAGATAATAGCGCCAACCACTCCCCATTTCCATTGCCAATGCAGCTACATGGCTGTGAAGTTACAAATCTCTTCAAGTCTGCAGCGGGTACCATTAAATCACAGCAGGCTGCCTAAAGGGAAGAAAGAAGGCACAAATGGGACATACTTGCTGGCCCTCTGGCTCCAGATGAAGGGACAGGAACAGTCCCCCCTGAGAGCCATCTGGCTTTTACCTTTACCCCTCAGTCTCCCTTGAGAAATTTCCCCACTTTATGAATCCCCGTACCACTTCCATAACTTGGTCACATCTGCATCCTACCTGGACTTAAGATTTTCCTCCAAATCGACTTCTTGCTCCAATATGATCTAAAGACAACGCTGTTACAACCAGATAAAGGAAGCCGATATCACTTTGCCATTGATAGAAGAAAAGAGGAGCAGTTTTAAAGGATGCTTCTTGGTGAAGGTTCTGGACTGCAGCGGGCTCTCCTCCTTGTTAAGAGACATTAGCAGTGCCATGCAAAGCTTTGGGAAACTTTTTCTTTAACGCGAGTGGGAGAAATGACATGGGGTTACAGGGTAAATGCAAAGAGAGTAACTGTCTTCTTGTGATTCGATGTTACGCCATGTGTAGGCACCACTTGAGTCACTTCCTGAGCCCTCTGCCTGCCTGCAGCCCGAGGAGCTGGTGTCCCACAGATGGGAGACTACTGCTAGTGTTCCCATTCTGTTCTGCTCGCTAGCCCTGCCACACTGCAAGGGACTTGACCCCGTGTCTCTCCTTCCTCTGTAAAAAATAAGTTAACAGTATGTGAACCACGGGGAGTTGCTCCAAGAAACAAATGACATTATGAGCGTAAGGTGTCTGGCACAGTATCTGCCACTAAGAAAAATGGTGAATAAATGTAAGCCTTTATTATTAATTTCTTCCGGTTTCCTTCTATAGACCTCATTTTACAAAAACAAACAGGACAGAGAGGAGGAAGAATCTTGGACTCAACTCTAGTCACCTCCTTGTTAGTAAAGGTCAAACTTTGTCCCTTTGCTTCAAGCAAAGATCATCTTTCCCTCTGACAACTCTTGTTCAAGCCCAGCTTCAGGCACTGCATATAGACCCCCGCTCTGCCCCAAGTCCTGAGAAGAAAATGGTTAAGCCACCTCTGGGGCATTTTCAGGGCCAAGCAAAGCACCCAAACACATTAAGCAAGGAGTGGAGCTGCCTGAATGAATACACAGCCTCCCCCTCCCGAAGACCAAGCCAGCATGGGTAGGATCATAGAGAACAGTTAAGTAGATCTGAGTAAAGGACACTGGGTGTGACTTCGGACCTTTTGCTAATGGCACCATCACAGATAACAAAAACAAATAAAGATGCAGAAAAGTACCCAGTGTGCTTATCTGAAACATAGAATCTTGAATTTTCATAAATCCTACCATTTAATATAATTTGCTTCAGTATTTGTATTCTGAGATTACTAGAATAAAATCTTCCTTTTCAATTACCCAGACAAAAATATATGTGCTAGCACCTTTGCAAACTCAGTGCTTCTAAACACTTGGGCTTTGCACTCTTGGTCTTCTAGCTAGAAACAGACATTGACTGGAGTCATACTATCTGTACTCAAACTTAGGAAGGAAAATGACAAGCACTAAGAACAATCTTTGTATGTGGCAACAAGAAGAGGGCGGTGTGGTGGAACCCAGACAGAGCCAAGAACAGGGCAATAAGCAGATCAGACATCATGGCTGTCTCCAGACAATCCAAGTTCGCTGCTTTTCTCTGCCCACAACTATCAAGATGTCCTGTCAATTCTGGGGAGTTATATGATCACACTAAGACTGTAGAGGAACACTCCATGCATGTGGGCTCCACACTTGCAAAACCTCTTTGTGTGTACTGTAAGAGTCTAAGGGTCACTGTTTTGCTTTTCAAATATTTATTTGTATATATATGTGTATGTGTGTGCATGAATTTATGAGCAGTGTGAGTGTACACATGCTCACAGGGGCCAGAGGGCATCGAATGCCCTGGAACTGGAGTTACAGGTAGCTGTGAGCTAGCTGATGTGGGTGCTGGGAGCTGAAACCAGCCTAAGGTCAACAGTGTGGTTTTATACAGTGTGGTTCTTCTGTACACATTTTTTTTGCCCAACTCTTAGGTGTTACTCTGTCTCCATACCTATGAGCACCTTACAAGATGATAGTTGATATTGAACTGTGGTTGAATGATTAATTGAAACAGCCAGGATTCAGCGGACTATAACTTACCTAGGAGACCTGAGTGAGTCCCTTCAACAAGAAGGTGGTGATTTGTTTGGTGTCAAAGATATACTTGAGTTTTTAAGTAATATTTTTACACATGAAAATCATGGTCATAATGTGAGCCTACAGATAGGAGTAATAGGTAAGTAAGCACATGAAAAGGCCCTTAAAACACTCCTAAGTCAGGCAAACCTCCAGTCAAGAGGCCAAGTCCTCACGCTTTACCATGAAAGCTTTCGACTGTACTTAGCAACAGCACCTGTGTTCCTTGCCTCCTGAGTAAGTGGCTGGGGCTGGACACCCTGATCAATCCAGTAAAGATTTAGAAACCCACAGTCTTCTGCCAGGTGGTGGGACCTCTCGCTGTGTACTGGAGTGCACAGCGGAGCTACATGGAGTTGTGGGTTACCACATGGTGCTAGGACATGGACCCAGGTCCTCCTCCAAGAGCAGCAAGTGCCCTTAACCTCTGAGTCATCTCTCTAGTCCTGCAGTGTGTGTATATGTGTACAACATATGTACACACACACACACACACACACACACACACACACACACACACACACACACACACACGCTCTACCGATCTGAGCACAAGAGAGAGAAAGGCAGGAACATATGAAGAACAAAGCCCTCCTCAGCTGTACGGTTCATGGCCATGGACTACCTGAGACTTGTCTCTAAATAAATAATTGCCTAAAAATTTTTAGCCCAAAGAACTCGCGAATAGGGAAGTAGGGCAGAGGGAAAGATAGAACAGACTGATCAATGGGTACTCAGACAAGAAGCCCTGCTATAATAACATTAATCAATATAGATGACACTATATGCTCCAGAAAGATACATGAATAGGAACATCCCATAGATACAAATAATTCTTCCATTTCATTAAAAAATTAAAATTTATCTCATGCTTTCAAGATCGCACGTGTGTGTGTGTGTGTGTGTGTGTGTGTGTGTTCTCATGTGTTTGAAGCCATTCTGTTCTACCTAGTGAATTCCAGGCTAGCTAGGGCTACACAGTGAGACCCTGTCTCCAAATATATATGCATGTATATGTGTATATATATATACATATAAAATTAAAGAATTTATAAAGACTATGAAAATAGACATTAGGTATCCTATCTCTACTGATCATTTAACTCTAGAAGCAATTAACTAGGAAAGTTTCCGTTGTAAACCCTGTGTGCAACAACACTGACCAGCCACTAGTGCCATAGTGACAAGTCTGCTATAGGAGTAACCAACTGCTTTCTGATCGGATTTGAGGCCTGCTCACAGGAGAGAATTCATGCCTGGCACTGTAAAGCTAGGCAAAAGCCCCTGACTGGGGAAGTCATAGTGCCTAGTGAAGTCCCTAAACTTACTGCTGCTGTCTTGCTGCCTGTCAAATTGCCTATAAATGAATACGTTTGGGCCTACAGATTATGTGCTCCTATCAGTTTTGGTCAGATAAGTTTATTTTTAGAAAAATCATAACTGCAAAGGCTTATAACTGGCTGAAGTGCTGATAATAGGAGACAGGTGTTTGTTTAACTATATATGGGACATCCATCACATTCCCTCCAAGGCTCAGGGAGTTTCTTGGAAGAATGGTGGAAAGAATGTTGAGAGTCAGAGGAAGAGTTGGGGGAGTGGTATGCAGCACTAATTTCCAGGTGTGATGTGGCTGTTGCACACTTGAACTCACAGCAGCAGGGATCACCCACATAATTGTTTGTACAAGATTGGGCCTGTCCATATCCTGCCATGGAGTGGGGAAGAGCTCACAGGACTCAAGGTTGATGGAGGAGGGAGAGACATCATCTTTCATTTACAATATTTTTATAAGCATATATTAATTATGTTACATATGAAACAGTGGCTTTTATTATGACATTTTTATACACATACATAATATATTTCAATCAGTCACTGTCTCACTTCCCCTGATACCCTGCCTCTTTCCAACTACCCTGTTCTACTTTCGTGTGTGTGTGTGTGTGTGTGTGTGTGTGTGTGTGTGTGTGTGTGGATGCTGGCAAGGTATCCACAGTCCTGTAAACAAATCTTTACTATAGTCCTATAAGGACTACTAATGAAACTCATTGGGTTGTAAAAAAAGACAT